TATTATGTGAGGAATAAATACTAGAAATAGGAGTGTAATTTAAGGACGGAGGGATTTATTTAAGTTAGTTAGAATGACTAATGCCAACCTATTTCAAATATATATCACAATAGCTCCCGCTTTTGTAAATAACTTGGTGTCACGTGCAGTGCTAGTACCCTAGCAATTTCCTTTATTTTCAGGCACAACAAGTTCTATATACGATGAGGTACGGCAACTCCTTATAGCTTGTGCGCCTGTATTGATATTTGTGTCTTAGTGTAGGTTAGTATCATTATTTAATAGTTGATGTATATATGGAGAATATTTGTTTGGATCAAGTCTTGAGGATTCAGGTGCTGCAGGGTTGAATTTGCGCTGTTTAGCGCGTAACATTATTAGTGCGATATGTTGAAACTTGAATTGAAAATCAAAGTTAGGTAAGGGTAAAACTAAGCTATGTGTCATAATTTGACTCTCAATGTAGCACTATTGACTTACCTTAGAAAGCATCATCCCTTTATAATTTAATTTTGAAAAGGCATAATTTTTTTATTATTAACACTTAAATGATGCTAGTATATTTAATAATGGGTTAGATTAGGGTTTCAACAGGCTCAAATAGGCATCAAATAAACTTGATGAGCTGCACTTGGGCATCAGGGGAGATGATATGGACATGACAAACTTCTAAAACAAAGTTAAGAAGGTTCCCTTATAGGTTTTTATTTTTTATTTTTAAATTTATGTCAACTCAGATTAGATTAGATTAGATTAGATTCTTAGGGTGTAATATTTTTAGTTTTAAAGTAGGCATGCATGACACACATCATACAAGTATATATGTCACGATTTGTCTCTTGGCATATATTATTTTAATTTAAAAATTTTAAAAGTCAAATCAAATCGAATTAGATATCAAATCAGATCGAATTATATATAATCAGAAGAATTAAAGTAAACTAAAGAGATCGAGTTATTATGCTTCATAAAACAATAATATTATACTGGAAACAATCTTTTCAACTTACACGGGAATTGTATCTTGACAGATAGCAATACCAAACAAGCATTTACCATTAATGCCCTATATTCGTTTGTGATTTATTTTTCTTGATTCTCAACTTTTTTAAATAGCTTTTCCCCCTAAAATGTCTTCCTTTAGTCCCATTTCATTATATTAAAAGCTTAAAAATAACATTGCTTGTTTACTATTTGTTGTTGATTGTGTAATTCACGATTGGAATATAATGTTGTCTCATCTTTAATCCGATCTACTCCTTCAAAGTTATGCAAGAATCTTTCTTTTGGAAAGCAATTAGTTAGAGTTGGTAGAGGAGACATTATCATAACTTATTCTATAAAATTGGCAGAAAATCAGAAATTTAACTTTAAAAAAACAATGACTTGCTAATTGCTATGTCGGCTCAACTAATTATTCTTCCAACCAAACAAGTTCTAAAACTTCTAATTATGGATAAAGTTATATCTCCATTTTATTATCTTTCCATTTAAATTAGCATTATATTTGGAAATAATATCCGATCATTTTTATTTTAATTATTAGAGTTCATTTCATCTCTATTACTAGTATATAAAATGTCCACTTAAATTAAAAATGTCTTTATTTTTGTATCCAAATGGTGGGTGTATATTTCGAAACACGTTTTGGGTGGATTTAGGTCTCTTTTAGAAATAAATGAGCTAAGAGCTCATATAGGATACCAAATTTCATACAACTTAATTACACTTTTACAATCAAATTTCAAAGGTTAATTTAAGATTTAATTTGTCTAACAAGAGATATACCAAACTTGCATTATTTTGGGTAAATATATACTTCCCCCAGCCTTTAGGCATTTAGTTTTAGGCGGTGATCTGATTAGGGTCTATTCACATTTACTAAACTAAGCTGAATTGAACTGATTGGTGCTGAATTGAATATTTAGAGAAGGAAATTAGGAGTTGAATTGAACTGAATTGAAATTAAGTTTAAGTAAATAGGTCCTTAGCGAAGGTAAAAGAATGATTCTTTATTTTTTTTTTTAAAAAATATTAACACTAAGCTAGGATTAATTAGAGAAGAGTTGAATACCACGCTGTATTGTGTAAAAACTATTTTGAGTACATTGGTCGTTTACATTATATAATATTTACCGATCAAAGTGCTACAAAGCTGTATTATTTAAAGGAAAATATTATATATATATCCTTTAGGGCTACATATATGCATTAAATTTACATTAGAAAATCGTAAAAAGTTAGGAAATCATAAAAATATAAACACTAATTACACTGATTTACGTGTGTTTTTGTCATGAATTCCAAATTTTATACAACTTCAAGAATGTATTTAATGCTTATATATTGCCCTTAGGGCTATATATAGCATTACTCTTATTTAAAAACGGAGGAAATGTATTTTTTGTTCAACTAAGCTAAGAAAAAATAAAATAAAATAATTACAACTGGTCAAAGTTTGTCTAGCTAGTAATTAAGATATACTAGGTTAGTAGGTTAAGTCCCGTACCATCCACGGTAATATTCAATAGATATTTTAAATTATTGCTTTTAAAATGAATTTATTATAAAACAGTCTATTATTAGCTGAATAAATATTTTAAAATACGCATGTATTTATATTTATATACGATATATTTCACCAATACAATTATATCATTTTCTTCTTGTTAACCAAATGAATATATTAACAATATGTATTTAACCCATACATAGATCTCCTTTTAATCCACTTTATTCATTCTCTCATACAATATATTTTTTCAATAATCAGCTGATAAAAATATTTTTTCATATATTTCCTAGCAATCTTTTCACACATAATTATATACAATTTTTTTTTTTAAAAAAACCCTTGTTGTAAAAATGGTAGAGTTGTACATAATAATATATGTGTAACAATTTATGTTAAGATTTTGATTTTATTTTATTTTTTTACTTAAGTTTACAGTATCAATATATATTGTGATATGATACATTATATCTTTTCTTTATTATTTTATTTATGTAAAATATGATTTTTTTTTTATTTTTAAAAAAAAGCTAAGGGCATGTTCACATTTACTGAACTGAAATGATTGGAGCTGAACTGAAATGAATATTTTATGAGAGAGGAAAATTAAGAGTTAAACTGAACTAAACTAAATTGATTGCAGCTAAACTGAACTGAAATTAAGTAAATGTAAACAGGCCTTAAGGGACACACCAGAAAATGGCACATGTACTTTAATTTGGTATGTCTTTTAGTATATAGTCATTGATGATTGATTATTGACTATTGATTTATTGGTAATGACCCTGAACAATATTTTGTAAGGAATTTTATTTATTTACTTATTTTTAAACTATAAGATATGGCATGGTGCAATTCGAGGGAATCTTACCCATGTCAATATTTGTAGAATACAAACTTTTAAAAAAAACCTGGTGTACAATAGTATTGTACGTCACTGGTAATATCACATACTCAATTAAATTAAAAATGATTAAAAGTTACCATGATATACATACAAGTACCTATATTTTTATTGATTTAGTTACTTTCTTTCATGAGTATTAATCAAATCTTAATCAGTATGTGAATGTAACAATTTCACTTTTATGAATAAAATATCATGTAGCCTAATTACATTAAAATTGTATCAGAATTGAAGTTATCCCTCAAAAAAGTTTTAGTTATCCCAAATAAATAAAGCAGTTGTAAAGGAGACATGACAATGCATGAATTTACCTTAACTTGATTACAAATTTTAACTCACATCCAGTATGAGCATATTGCTATTGTCCCGTTTGATTAACAGCCATAAATCGATCAAGGGAATTATAATAAATTTGTTTATAAATCTACTTGTAAATATTAGTATTATCCATGGTATTGTGAGTTTGTCCATCTTTGTTCCTCTTTAACTTTCGTTATCATCCATTAACTAAGCTAAGGTAGCTAGTATTGAGTAATAAAATGAAAACATAAGAACAATAATAACACATATTTGCATGGATTGGAGTAATTTTATTTGTTAGCACGACGTACATGATTAACACAAACTTTCCTTAAAAATTTACCGTTAAATAAACAATTACTTTATGCCCGCTATTTACTATTTATAACCGCTTACCAAATATGACATAAACATATTTATAATCATATAAGTTGTTGCTAAAAAACACGAGTTGTTGCTAAAAAAGATTAATAATATCAATAAGTTGATACTAGCTATGAGCCCTATGACTTACGAGTTAGATACTGTGAGTTTGTGTGTTGTGAACTTGCGACTGTGTGAGTGATATTATTTGTGTGTTTGTTTCCTAGCAATGTCGGCAACAAAGGGAATCATTAATTTTTGTCAATTGATTGTCTGGAATTAGAGTCTTATTGTTGCACTACGTACATTTTTCGGAGACTTATTGTTGTCGTCGACGTAAAAAAACTGTAAACTTCAGTACATGAATTGATGAAAATGATGATTTATTAGACAATTACTTAATTTCTAGTAAAATACCAATGGAATAATAATATAATATCCTTAATTAATTTTTTTTTAAACGGGAAGTAATAATATCATTAAATAATAGCTATACGACATCTACAATAATAAAGATCTGTAAACCATAGATTTAGAGAAAATATCTGCATATTTGGCATAACTCATACTCCACCGTTTCAAGCTTGACGCGAGCAATGATTTCGATGTCTTTGCATCTTTTCAAGTTAAGACCTCCGCAATTTGCTCTGATGTTTTGATTTGTTAGATTATGTAAATAATCTACTGTATATTATTAGTTGTATTTACTAATATATCCCTAGCCCTAACCCTAGTATAATCTTGTATATATACTAATGTTTAATCAATGAGAAGGCACGCCAAATTTTCTCACATTCTGTCATGGTATCACGAGTCTAGGTTTTCGCTCCGAACCCTAACTCTCTTCTTCCGCTCATTTTCTCTTATTTATCTTCTTCTTCTTTTCCCTGTTACTTTCGGCTATCTCATGCATCCTCCATGGCCGATCAGAAAATTCATCTAGCCACCCTTACCAATAACATCAAGACTTGCATTTCGATTGTTCTTGATTACAATGGCACTCAATACAACACTTGGTCTACTTTATTCCAACTCCATTGCCGCATTGATTTAGTAATCGACCACATCATACCAAAGGTTGTAAACGAGAAGGAAAAGGCTCCTAAAACTTCTGATAAAGATCTTTGGCAGCGACTTGATGACATTGTTCGTCAATGGATTTATAATACTATCTCCAATGACCTACTCAATTCCATAATCGATCCCGATGGCAAGGCTATTGATGCTTGGAACCGTTTGAAGAATTTTTTTCTCAATAACAAGTCTGCCAGAGCGCTCCACCTTGATGCGCAATTTACCAACACCAAACTCGATCAATTCGAGGGTGTTAAACCATATTGTTCTCACCTCAAATCGTTGGCTGATAGTTTGAGGAATGTAGGCGACCCTATCTCGGACAATAGAATGGCGCTTCAATTATTAAAAGTGCTTACGGAGGATTATAGACCCTTTTGGACTTCTTACGGCATTTGACCCCTTTGCCTTTGTTTGATACGTTGTGATCGATGCTCGAACTAAAAGAGCAGGGCAACGCAGTCGATGTTGTTGTCGAGTCTCTTGCAGAGGCTCACATTTCTTCCGCTGTTCAAAATCAAACCCGGGAGACTACACCCAATTATGCTCATTCTAGCTTGTGGTGCAAATTCACGTTCTGGTGGTTGCAAGAACAACAAGAACAAGTGCGGTGGCGAAAAGAACAAATCCGCCGCCGGGAGTGGTGGCTGAACCAACTAGCAGCAATAGTAGGGTGGTGCGACACATCAGCAAAATACCCTCACGAGGCGTTTGGTTGGAGGGATAGGAATAAAAGGGATAAGGAAGGAGGATAAAGATAGGGTATTGATAGATGGGACAAGGATAAATAATTCTTATCCCATGTTTGGTAAGTTTGTGAAATAAATTAGGATAAATAATAAAATTATAAAAATATCCTGACTAACTTCTACATTTTCCCTTATCCTTTCAATTTCATTAAGGGTAATTTGGTATTTTTAACCTATTTTTTTATCCCTTCCCCTTATACCACCCCCCTTAGTTATAGAAATGGGGGGATAAGGAGGTGTTTTAATCCCTATCCTCAACCCCCTTTTAATCCCCATCCCACTAAACAAACATCACTCTTCTTCTATCCTCATCATTTATCCTTATCCCTCCCTTTTTATCCCCCTAAACAAACACCCCCTCAGGGATGGATGTTTCCGGCAGCTAATTGGGGTTAATGGAATCAGCCCCCTTGGGCAACGTCCCCTCCTTGTCCGTACCCAAGTCAAGGCCCTGGCCCAAATTGGTGGTCACCTAGGCCACAACACTCAGCTCCTCAGGCCGGTGTTCTTGGGTCGCGTCCTCAACAGGCGTTTTTTGTTTGGTGCTCCTCCTGCTTCGGGATATGTACCCACCAACATCAACCAAGCAATGAACACTATGTCTTTTCCCGACCCTAACTACTACATGGACACCGATGCTACTTCACATATGACTAATTCCCAAGGTAATTTATCTTCTTACTGTCAATTACGCAAGAATAGTCATAATTCAATAGTTGTTGATGATGGTAGAAAAATTCCAATTTCTGGTTATGGTCACACATCTTTTCCTCAAATCACACTCCAACTCAAAAATGTTCTTCATGTTTCAAAATTAATCAAAAATCTCATTTCTGTTCGAAAGTTCATTATTGATAATAATGTGTCAATTAAGTTTGATCCTTTTAGGTTTTCGGTGAAGGACTTGCAGACGGGAAGCAAGTTAGTGAGATGTAGTAGCAGTGGCGATCTATATCCCTTCTTCACGGATTGTCAAGTCTATGATTCATCCATTCCGTCTGCTTTTTCAGTTGTTTCTCCTAGTGTGTGGCATTCCTTACTAGGCCATCTGGGAAATACAATTCTTAGTTCTCTATGTAGTAGCAAACTCATTAATTGTAATAAGGTTTCAAAACATGTTTGTCATTCATGTCCTTTGGGAAAATTAATAAAGACACCTTTTTACGATTCTATGTCTCATATTACTATGCCTTCCGATATAATTCACAGTGATTTATGGACCTCTCCTGTTCTTAGTTATCTTGGTCATAAATATTATGATAATTACACGAATTTTATATGGACCTTTCCTATGTCATCCAAATCTCAAGTTTATGAGTTATTCATTCGTGTTTGAACATATATAAAGACTCAATTTGAACATGAAGTTAAAGCTTTCCAATGTGACAATGGCCGCGAATTTGATAATGATCCATTTAAAAAATTTTGTGTTGCCAATGGAATGACTTTTCGCTTCTCTTTTCCATACTCTTCTCCCCAAAATGGCAAAGCGTAACGTAAAATTAAAACGACCAATAAAATTGTTCGAACGCTCCTTTGTCATGCTTCTATGCCACCATATTTTTGGCATCATGCCTTAGAAATGGCAACTTACCTTCACAACATCTTACCAACAAAATTTCTTAGCAATCAATCTCCTACTCAAATTCTATATCAAAAGCATCCTGATTATTCTCACCTTCGTGTGTTCGGTTGTTTGTGTTACCCTCTTTTCCCTTTTCCTACAATACAAAAATTGAACTCTTGGTCCACTCCTTGTGTGTTTCTTGGGTATCCTTCCAACCATAGGGGCTATAAATTCTTTAATATGTCTAGTCGGAAAATTATTGTTGCTAAACATGCAATGTGTGGTTCGATGTGTCGGTTTTCCCTTTTTCTAAGGTACACACCCCTAGTCCTCACACATACGATTTTTAGGTGATATTTCAACACCTCTTGAAAATCCCATAGTGAGGCAACATATTTTACGGTATCCCACTCTTCCTAGAGCTACGGGTCAGCCTTTCCTTCTTACTCCCTTCATTGAGCAGCATGATCTGCATCCTAGCTGCGGTGATCTCCCTCTGGCCACAAATATGATGCGGCATACTCTGCCTCCCCCCACATCTCCCCTACACCAACCACATACTCCCCCCTTCCCACGCACATTTCAGATGTTGATGCCTCTCCCAGCAGCGTCCCGTAGCGCGGTTTTGCAACATTAACTGCCAACCCCGCCGGGTCACCAGCGGGCGCTGGTGCGAGGGGTTTCTTGCCCACTGAACTTTCTGCCCAGCCCGCTCGCTTTCCAGCGGGTGCTGGTGTAGGCGTGGCCAAGCAAGGCATCCGCTCGCCTTCTCATGTCTTTTCTCCCTCCCATATACCAACCCCACCTCAGCAACCTTCTCATTCCATGACTACACGTTGTCAACAAGGAATAATTAAGCCAAATCCTAAATATCAAAATCAAGCACACCACACTTCCACTTCTATATCGCCTATTCCAAAGAACCCGGTTCATGCCTTACGTGACCATGATTGGAAAATTGCAATGCAGGAAGAGTATGATGCTCTAATTGATAATGGCACTTGGGATTTGGTACCGCGACCGAATAATGTGAATATTATTCGTTCTTTGTGGATTTTTCGGCATAAAATGAAATTTGATGGCTCCTTTGAGCGACATAAAGCTCTTTTGGTTGGTGATCGTAAAACTCAAAGGGAAGGCATCGATTGTGATGAGAAATTTATTCCGGTTGTTAAACTGGATACTATTCAGGTGGTTCTTAGCATTGCCTTATCTAAGTCTTGGGCTATACATCAACTGGATGTGAAGAATGCTTTCTTACATGGTAACTTGAATGAAATTGTTTACATGTATCAACCTTTGGGAGTTTGGGGTTCAAAGATCCGGCTCATCCAAATCATGTGTGTCTTCTCCGAAAGTCCTTATATGATCTGAAACAGGCACCCTCGGGCTTGGTATCAGCGTTTTGCATATTTTGTGGCTGTAGGGAATATTTCAAGCATTACCCCTAACTTGAAACCCACTGTGATCATACACTAAAGCATGGTGGCGTCCAAAGGGAAGGAAGATAGAGCAAAAGAGTAGCCAACAAGTTTTAGGAACTTGTAAACCGTTCACAGGGTGAAGTTTACACCCCTTAACGATCAAGGAGATCGTCAACTCCAATAGGTCTGGAACCATGACTGGTAGTTCGGGGATGAAGGTACACATCCAATCTAAAAGAGATTGAACCTTCCCTAATAATAGGCCTTTACTTTATTCTGATCGTATTCATATGCGCTTTCTAACTAACATGCAATCAATAGGTTTACCCTAAACCTATTTATCTATGTTGGTTGAATATTAATGCACAAATAAATCTATTATTGGCGATCACTTGAATTATAATCATATTAACCCTAAACAAGATTATTAATTATCTTATATAAGCGTGATTACAAGTACAAATTCCCTTTAAACATGCATAAAAGGTGTGATCAAGCAATAACAATAAATATATATAATCAAGCAACATAATAAATCAAAATAATAATCATAAAAATAATCATAAGAATTATAATAAAAAATCATCATCATCATGTTAAAGCATAATAATAGCAAGATCCTAGGCATGATACTAACAAGATTAATAACAAACCCTAGCATGTCACTAAACAATAAAGATCAAATATATAGCCCTAACATGATACTAACATGTTATTAGGAAAGAAATAGGAAGCATCATAATAATCATAATTGTCATATTTGATATTATAACCTTTTCCCTAAACATAATACTAGGAATCATTGTTGTCATTCAAAACATCAAGCATCCTAACATGATACTATGAATCATAATAACAACCTAGACATGATTTCTATATCATAATATCAATTAAGCAATTAAAGCACTTACTTGGATGCCTCGTACCTCTTTCTAATAACAAAATACACGCGTTAGTAACTTCAAGGAAAATAATAAATCAAACAATTAAATTAAATAATTGAAATAGAGATTTGGGACCAAACCCTCAGAAATTAAAACCTTTCACGTCTAGGGCGAAGGCAACTTTGCACTTGGCTAGGTGTTTCTAGATCTTATGAATGCGGAATTTTGTATGCAAAAGCTAGTTTAGAAAAGAGAGAGAGTAATCAAGAATTTCTTGATGAGAGTTGGTGAAAGAGAGAATTAGAGAACTAGAGAGTTGATGAGAATTGATAGTAATTGATGATTGAAAACAGAGGTTTTAGGAGGCTATTTATAGAGAAAATCAGCCGGATGGATAAAAAAACGAATCAGAGTTTTAAAGAGAATAAAACGAATTAGCGCCAGACGCCAGACATTAGCGCCAGACGCTAAGGTTAGCATCTGGCGCTAATCCTGCCGTCAGACGCTAGGAACCAGTTTCCACGCGCACTACTACATAAATGAGCAAATGCAACCCTTAAAAACCGTTACAATAGGGCAAAAACCCGTTGCTATAGACCTATTGCAACGGTTAAAGGACCGTAGCATTTGCGGCCATTGTATTAGGTTTAATGCAACGGTTCATTTTACCGTTGCATCAGGGCCTAAAGCAACGGTTAATAAAACCTAATGCAACGGTTAGAATTCCTATGAACCTTTGTAGAAGACCTAATGCAATGGTCTTTTAGTTCTAGTG